GAAAACAAGAGTCCTGGTTGGGAGCTCGTGCCCACTTCATCGGTACCCTTGTGCATCCGTGCACAGATATCCATGCAGATATGTTTAAGGACAAAATGGAAACAAAAAAATAATCGGAAATGCAAACTGTACAGCCTGTAACACTTCTGTGCAAAGCTCCACCGTATAGCATTCAGAGCAGCAGAAAGTATTTATAACATAGTTTTCAGGTTCTACTATGTTTCTGACTTAGGTTGATCTTGAAAAACTAAGCAGGGCCAGACCTGATTAATATTTGGATGGGAGATCACTAAGAAATCTCAGGGCTGTAGGCTGGAAAGCCCAAAACTATCTGGGAAGAAAGCAATGCCAAACCACTTCTATATTGTTGCCAAGAAAATTACATGTATATGTCCATACGTCAGCAAGAGTAGAGCTTGACCAAAGGAGACTATCTTTTACCTAAGCTGGGAAAAAGTCTTGGTCTTCACTGAGCCCTAATGGAATCAAACCAATAAATGATAGCAATTTAACCTTGTGCATTAAAAACAACAAAGACTCTTTCAGATCACAAGATCCTTCAGTCTTTTTGACATATTCTAGTCGCACAGTTTCATATTTGAACATAACTTTTCAAGTTCCTTTGTTCCCAAACATTATAGTCTTGTTGAAGGATGTTGGCAAAGTAGTCAGAGTGTCCTTCTCCAACTAAGATGAACAACTTCTTATCTACTAACATCAGGCAGAGAAATTATCCTGCATTTTCTCTTTAATTTCTCATCCAATTTAATGAAATTAAATTCTTTAGAGTTTCTTTCATAAGAGAAAATGATTTTGGAGAAGTTCATGTTCTTATTGTTTGTTAGATTTATAACCTGCTCTGGCCAATATTCAAAGTCCTCAGTGGTTTGAGTGGTGTGTTTTTGCACTTATTGGTTAGAGGATGACCCATCTTCCAATTAAAATTCTTTCTTCAGTGGTCAGAAGTCTCCCTGCTTTTCTACGCATCCGTTAAATCCTAAGAGGGAGCATCACGTGGGACTTCCTGCTTTCCTTTATAATTCTTTTAGTAATTGTTTCACTGTTACACTATTAGGAAGTCCTGTCCTTGAGAAATCATTGGAGATTTTTTTCTTTCTCCTGAAGAAACTGGAGAATTGTCCATTCAATTTTTCTACCCACAAATTTGGTGGAGAATTTTAAAAAACTATTTTTGGCCATCTTAAGAGTAATCCACAGAATCCTAATGTCAAAAATGGCAGCAAGAAAAGGCAGTGATTAAATACTACCACCTCTGAAAATTTTCTACCACTGACATCTTCATTCTTCCTTAAAAGAATATGAAAGGAAGCTCGGTGTGAAAGCCCCTATATGTTGAAAGGAGTCCGTTTTTTAAAATATATTTCCAGACACTGCTTTTTAAACTATGTCCTTCTTAATTGATAGCCAAATGTCATAACTGTACTACTATAGCAGAGCTTTTTTTTTTAATTTCACCAGCAACCTTTTCATTTTTAATCCTTTATTTTAAACTAGCTGCCAAACTTTCAGCTTTAGTTTTAAATCCCATAACCATTATTCCATCTTATTAAGCTGTGGTATGCGAATAGACTTACTTTCTCTAATTCCTTTTCACTTCAGTCTGTCTGCATAGTGCACCAATCTGCTACACAAATTGCAATGGATGCCTTCCAACAAATCACTGTTGTAGCAAGGATAGTATGCCTTATATTAAATCACATGATGGCCCTAGTTTCTTTTCTATGATACATGAGGTCCAACCAAGATTTTTATATTTTCTTTGCTGATTTAGTTTTTCAATGGCCATATCTGTGATATTATTTACTGCCAAATAAACTAAATAGGTCATAACCACAGGGATGTCTAAAAAGCTGCATTTTCCGTGATATTCCTACCAGAATGTTCAGGTTCTTCAAAAAAAGTATTTTATTAAACTCTGATATAGTCTGCACCCAGCTGTCAGCCTCCCCAGTAGACCAGACAGGAAACACAACAAGATGAGCTAATTCTACTTCATTGTAAGGCTACATTAACAGAATCCTGCAAGTCTGAAAGTACAAATCTCCCGCTATCTCTTTTTACAGTCTGATAAGTTAAGGCAGGTCCTTTCTAAGTTTCTTTCTCTTCCCATTATGCAGCTGCAGGCTCCTCTCCATTTTATCTGATTGTTCCTAGGCAGCATCTCTTCCCCTCATCTCTCAAGGTAATTCCCACATACCATTACACTATTGGACACCTTGGGGAATACGCCTGCAAATGACTCCTTTGGTGTTCACTAAGCCCCTTGCCTCACTTATCTATCTTACTACTAATACTTTTTTCTTCTTTTTGAAAACATGAGCCTTATAAGTTCCCTTAGAAAACAAAAAATGATGACAGATTTCTTCGGAACTCTGCCTCCTCAGAAAAAAAGGCAAAAGTATGCAGGGATTAAAGGAATATCCAATGGGACAAGAACCTAGAAGGGACAAGTGGATTCTGGTAAATCTCTGCCTTATAGCAATTTTGTTTCCCATGGTGGCCATTTTATGAATGGATAAGTCTACCCAGCAGCCATTTTGGAAGAGGGCCCAGAAGATTTCTTTAAAATTCCAACTATAAACCTAACAAATCCGATGCAGCTTGGTTCCTTGGGTGTTCTGGGGTTGACAATGCACATGTTGAAGATCAAACAGCAAGTTCACCTTGAGAGTGATCCTTCCACAACCAAAATGGCTTAAGTAGAAGGACAATGTCAGCAGGTTCACAAAACTTCAAAGCCAGCGGAAATACAAAAAGATTTTACAGGAAGAACCCTTTATGATGGAACCCCAAAAACCTACAATGATGACTGAGCTATCCTGAGTAGTGTTTGACTGTTGAAGAGCAAATAGAAAGGAATGGGGAGAGTGAATGAAATGGAATATTCTACAGAAGCATCAGGGTGGGTTGGCTGGAACATGGAAAATAAGCTTTCATCATTGAAGTATTTTCTTTCACAGTTCACTTTAACAAAGTTTGACTTAAATATCTTTATTAAAGAACTGGAACTGTTCCTATGTTCCTATGTTCTTATGGGCAAACCCTTTATTGTAGCAAACCTTGCTAAAGTATGTTACAATTTATTAATATGAACGTATGAACATTTTGAGAATTCTGTATTTGACTAGTCATTGTGAAGCCATTTGGTTAATTTGATCTTAGATTTGGGGTTACAGAATATCTATGACTAACACATTAATTTAGACCATTTTGTAAAACCTACCCCTGTCTTTTTGCCACTGTCTTTATGCTCTGATATCTAAAATGAATTGGGATTCTAGAAATGTATACAGAAGACTGCTTTAAGTGCACTCTAGAATTAGATTTCTCATTTACATGCATTTGCCATAAGTGCTGTATGCAGGCATACTTAGAAGTATTTAACTGAGCATGCAAACAGGGCTGAGCTAAACAGCTTGGCCCATGTCAGACTTATCACATAATCCTTCTTCCTGATATCCACATATGTCCAGAGCATGAATTCTGCACCAGTTGAAGCTATGCACAGCTAGGCTTCCATCAAGATCTCCATATGTGTGTGTGTGTATGTATACACACACATACATACACACACACAGTAGTTGTCTTATGGCTGCTTGCATTGTACCTAAAGAAGTCAAGAGGACACAGTTTGGGATGATTCACACAATTTGGAATGATAAAGTCATTTGGTACAGCCATGGTCTCAGTTCATGGCTTTCAGGGAAGAATAAGCATAGTATTCCTGTATCCAACCACCAACTCTGTGTTTCAAGAGCTACAATTTTTAGTCTGTATTAGACTGATTGACTGACCAATGTAACAGAATCAACAGACAGAGCGCTTTGTAAAATATATCACAATAATTCTTTCCTCTGAGCTATTTCTGCTCTAATAGCTTATACTCCAGATTCTGAGATGGAAAGAACATGCCCTGGAAACATCTTTTTTTCTGCAGCGTCCCATAACATTGCCTTCTTTTCATTCCCATCCATTGGTGAGGCAGTTTTACATCAACCTTAGCTGGTGTTTTCCCTCTTATTCTAACACTATCCAAGGGCAGCCTCAAGGAGTTTAAAATTTGCTATGCTTTGTCACACTTCATATTGTAAGGACATCAGGTGACTGCAGTGGCTTGAAACAGAGGTAACAGAGGGATGGGGAGGGATTGGAAATGAGGACAGCAAATTTCACACCAGACTAGTTCTCTGTCAACCCAAGAATGGGTGAAGAGCATTTCAACTCAGCAGTGAGGAAATTATCTTAGTTACAGTGGGGAATGGGAATTCAGTTTAGTAAAGGCTATGTGGAAAAGGTGCAAGATTTCAGGAAAACAGGTATCATGCATGTGTTCTGAACCCTGTGGAGTAAGAGTGGAATGTATAATACACAAACAAATACATGCTTCTCCTTGAAACGAAGACAGCTTGACTGTTGCTTCTTGACAAGAAGCTTCCCTCTCAGGAACTTGAGAAGGAGTAAGGTTTAATTATACTTCAGCTTGTATGAATAGTATCTGGAAGCAATGGCTGGTTATTCATCAAGGGCCTTCCTTCTTCCAACAGGTATCAGAAAAAGAAAAAAAAGACAGGCTACAACTACTCTGGCCTGGACTACCCAGTCTGTAAGTCTGTGTTCTATCAGGTTACTAAGAAGGACTATAAAAGGCCAAAGGAATGGGAAGTCTCTCACCCTCCACTCATATTCAAACAATTTCCCTTCAGACATGTCCCTTGAACCATTCGATTATGAGGCAGATTCTTTCCTGGCATTGCTCAGGAGCTCAGAGTTCTCAGCAATACTAACATCACATAACGTCTGTTCAATATCAGTTCCAGGGACTGGTTGGCACATTGTATTGCTGGAAAGGCTAGGTTTAGTGAAAGCCTTTCCAGATGACAAGAGGATTCCCGCAACATAAACCATGCAGAGAAGGAGAAGATGGACCCTGAAAGAAAGCAGCGATACTTAAAAGAAGGAAGGGAAAGCCAAGTACTCACATGGTAAAGGAATCAGGGGGAGCTGAAACTCTCCTCAGGTCAGCAGGTGGCACTTTATGGATACTATAGGCAGCAGGAAATGAGTAGCCACAGCAGGATCAGCACAACAGGATGGACAAACAAGAAAAAAAGCCCAGAGAGACAGAAAGAGAGAAAGAAAGAGAGAAAGACAGACAACATTTAACCAAAACAAAAGGAAAGCATCACATACAGGCTAAATGGAGGTGTATATTAAGTTCTAGGGCAGCATACCCAAAGCCAGTGACAGATACCAGCAAGCACAATGAAGGGAAATGGTTCTGGTACCATAGCATGAGACAGCATGGGGGCGAAGGGCAGGAGGCTCTTGCAGCATGATGTAATCTTGGAAATGGTAAGAGGCAAAAGTCTCTTGTAGAGAAAGGCAGAAGCTATTAGAGGCTTTTTAGCAACAACAATAGGGGCAATTGCCCCAGGCACCACCACTGGTGGAGACCTCATCCAAAGTATGGCTCAGTATTTCAAATGACCAGATGTATCATTATTTTTCAGTCACAGCTATAGCTCAGATCCATCCAATATAATCCAAAGAGACACTGCTTACTGAGTCACTGACTTCAGCGAACAAGAGAGAAAAATAGGGATATAGAATAATAGGGGGACTCCTGTGCACATTTGGGCCCCAGGCAGAGTTTTGAAAAGGCATTAAATCTACAGTTCCTTTTACTAACAGTAAATAACTGCTACCGTCTCAGTATAAATGGGTATGTCACTTCCCCATCTGTCTCACGAACAGTCCTTTCCCCTCATTTTATTGTTATCAGTCCTCTGGCCTTGTCATTACAACTTGCAGTTTTGAATTTTGCAGCAGGGAAGAACCAGGTTTTGAAAGAATCAACATGTGCTTTCCTGCACATGAGACAAGCAAGGCCCCAGTGGAATTGGATGGAAGATGGCTCTGGTTTAAAGGAAGCAGGTGATACACTTTCATAATTTCAAACAAAGCTACAAACAGACAGCTAACTCATCACCAGTCTGCAGAGGTACCCAGCAACTGCACCCTTCGTAAAGTACATCAAGACTCTTTCAGTGCTCTCTTCCTCTGATATGTCACATAAATAGGGTGACAAAGCAACCTTCACAACACCAAAGCGAACTCGAAGGTGCTAAAGGGGCCATGGTGAACCCAGCCATCACTGCCCAAAAGGAAAGAACTCAGCTACGTTCGATTGTTTTTAGGCCCATTTCATTCTCTTTTAAAAAAGAAAAGTGTAAGGAAACTGCATTGGCCGTAAAGAGTGTATTGGACAATACCTTTCTTAGACCAACCTAAAGGTCACAAAAATGTGTGTACTTTTAAGACATGGATTTTAGGTTGCTCACCCATATCTGAAAATATAAAATTCAGTTATGGAATATTCAAATATTTGGGTTCCTTTTGAGTAGTCCCAACAAAATATTTATTGTAGGTTCTGAAATGGGGCTAGAAAAATTTGTTGTCTCTCTCTCTCTCTCTCTCTCTCTCTCCTTCCCTCTCTCCCCCCACCTATACATATGGTGATCAAACCAGAGTTGCGCACTATCCTTATTGCAACACCAGTATAGCACTTCATGATATTCTATAGATAATAACAGTATGTCCCAGACTATTTCACTACTTGTGCAACAACTCACACTGAAGAGGATCTGGTTTCAATCCATTAGTAATACAAATATAACATTATCCAGAATGCTCATTGTTAATTCACATTGCAAAGTCCTGTCATCCCCTTTCTTGTTCAATTAAAAATGATCAGCCTTAATTTAAATACTTACAGGAGCAGTTTAACCTGACATAAAAGTGGTCTGTTTGTCTCATTCCCAGAACTATATGAGACCATTAGAGAACTGCAAAATGTATTTCATGTATGACATTTTTCTGCATGATGTTTGGTCAAGATGGGTTGTGGGCTCCAAAGTTTATTTTTTAATTTTCTCCCTTTAATTTAGCCCAAAGTCAGTTATTTGTAACCTAGAGTAGGAACAAGATAAAATTGAAAGACAAAAATCCATAACTGAAATTAAACAGTTTTGGATGGAAGGTATCATTTGCAGATTTCTAGGTCCCCAACTTGGGTTTCTTGGGCAAATGGAATAAAGGAATCGTTTTTAATATTTCAGTTCTGAGGCTCATTCCATAATGGAGAAATCTTTAAACCAAATACATATCTTCACACTGGTAATAGTAATATCTCCCCTTTTGACTACTGTATGTCACTCAAAAAAAATCACTCTTTAAACTCTGGTCTGAGTAATAGTTTTGGGCTGCTAGGGAGTGCTCTGTTTTCTCATTAAGCCAGTCAGTGTTCCCTCTGGTTGGCCAAGAAAAGGGTGTAAAATTCGGCAGTCCTCTGGCACGCGTGCACACACATATCCTCATTCTTCCCTCATCATGTTTGCTTTTCAAAGGGAGGGGGAAAACAGCTGTCCAATGAAGCTCAAGGACGATTCAGTTCAGTGTGCAGCAGCTGTGAAAAGACAAATTCCATGCTAAGGATTGTTAAGAGAGGGACTGAAAATAAAATGGCCAATACTATGATGTTCCTATAAAAATCTATGGCATGTTCATGTTTGGAATACTTTGTATGGCTCTGGTAGCAACATTGGAAGAAGTGGGCAACAAAAATGATCAGAGGACATGAACATCTTCCCTACAAGAAGAGGGTAGAATGTTTGGGAAGGTTTAGCTTGGAACAAAAGATGATTGGTGGGGACATGACTTAGGTGTATAAAATTGTACACAGCTAGGAGAAAATGGACAGGGATAACTATGTATTTATCCAGCACATTGATACCTTGTTAGAATCATATACAGACTCATAAGTGGGGAAACCTTTTTCCTTCTTTCAACTTCTAGGCCAATTATTCAAAAAAGAAGCCCTTTTTCATACATCACACAAATTCATGACCACAAGATGTGCTAATGGCCACTAACCTGCTGGCTTTCAAAGAGGATGGATAAATTCATGGAAGACACATCTATCGAGGATTATTCAATTTAAGACTCCATATTATCTCCAGATTGGGGGAACATACCTCCAAACACCAGTTGCAGGGGAAGACCGTTAGGAGAAAATATGTCTCCATCTCCCCCTTGCAAACCTCCAAAGGCCACTGTGAGGAACAAATTGCTGAACTAAGATGAGCGTTGGCCTGGTCTAGCAAAGCTTCTCTTACGTTCTCATCATGGGGTCACAGGAGGCTATCACCAATCTCAGATCACTGCAGAGCTTAGGTGTGAAACAGGAGGTTGTCTTTTGATCAGAAAATGCCTTTTTGAGAAGCTGGATACTGATTATATAGCACTTTTCTCTTCAAAGTGCCATTCCAATTATATATCAGATTTGTATCTCCAATCCACCAAAACTGCAGTATTGTCACCACAAAGCCAATTTTCATTTATTTCGTTCATCGCCTTATTTTTCCCCTACTAGAAATACTGGGAAGCAAACGATAACTCATTCTTTTGCTGGGTTAATTCCAGTAAAACCTTGTTACCAAATCAGGAATGATGCAGAAAGGAAATGGATACAAAAGATAAAAGCCATAAACAAATATACTTTTCTTCCTGATATGGATGCAAACAACACTGAGATTGGTGGCACTTAAATCTTTTTCTGGAGTTGCTTCTTACTGTCTTTACAAGAATTGCTTATCAATGGATACACATACACACACTCTTGTAAACACAATTTACATTTTGTAAGAATATCTATGTTAACTGCAGTCCTCAAATTACATGTGGTTTACTAAAAGAGAAAAACTGACTTCTTTAATGTTATGATTCTCTTAGCTATTTTCTTCAAAAAATCATGGCTGTTAAATGCAATTATTTATAGAATTTTATAACCTTCCAGTTTTTAACACTTCTTTCACTTTTTTCTTTCCAGGAAAAAAAAAATCCATTGCAGAGGAATGATAGGCTGGTGCCACAGTGCATTTTGATTAGCAGGGCCAGAAGGAATCCTCTGTCCGAAAATACTTATGGGTGAGACAACATCAGGCTGAAGGAGTTGAGGGGTTTGCAGATGTCTTTAAATTACCCTCCTCCATTTTTCCACCCTTTATTTGAGCACTGACACACAGGCATTGGAAATGCACCCTTTTCCTATTCTAAAGATCCTTAAGACAAATTCTCAAGACAAATGAAAAGATGAATCAGAGACATCTATAGCATCATCTGTTCACATTTATAGCAGCACCAGATTACATGTAAACCATCCATAGTCTGTCCTTTACAGGTTAGGGACAGGATGCACTAACTACGCATGCCAAATTTTAATGAACAGAAATATTCATGCCATTGCAAATTTTGCCAAGCTGATATTATGCAATTCAAGGGGGAAGTAGAATTCCCATGGATCTTCCTCCTGCTCATCCCTAACTTAGCATTGATCTACACTTCCTGCTTGCCCCATCAGGAGGCTGGGCCATCTATTGTTCCAGGAAGCAGGAACAATTGACATTGTTCTCAGCCTGCCCCTGGCTGCTGGGAAGGTGAACTCCATCAGAGTTTTCTTGTTCTACCTCAATAGTTGTATTTTTACCCTTCTATTGGTGTAGGCCTGGTCTCCATTCTATCTTATACAAATGCCTCCATTCCAAATGGCTGGTGTGTGCTCTGACAGGCACGTGTCCCTCCCAACCTCACCCCCAGTCCTCACTTTCTGACTTTGACAGCCATTTTGTGCTGGACTTCTTTGTCTCTTTTTTTTCCTTCCTTCCTTCCTTCCTTCCTTCCTTCCTTCCTTCCTTCCTTCCTTCCTTCCTTCCTTCCTTCCTTCATCAGTCCTCAAAAGACATCCCACAGAAAGGAAAGCATCTGGAGTTTGCTTCCCTGACATGGGTGGGAAAAGAAAAGCAGAGGAATCCACCAGTCGGGAACCATATTACCTGCCAACAGAGAGAATATCAGGGCATTATTAGGGCCAAGTGGATAAGAGGTTGAAATCCAGAAAGGGATTTTTTAAACTGGCTTCATTTCTGGCTGGTTTATGCATGGGAAGCAAGTAGCTGAAGGCTACAGTGCAGAAAAGCTCATGTTC